GGGGGGGGGGGGAATGTCTATTCAGACTTTGAATATCCCTGCTTATTGATCCCAGAGGAACGCACCTAGTTTTGCGCCCAAAAAATTTGTAATCGCTACGGAAATAAATGGGGTAAAATATTTTTTTTTTGCGCAATATATTCTCGCCGTTTTAGTACATACCTAAATAGCTATTCAGCATGGGTCAGTGCCGAGCAGTGGTCTACTAGTTACCTCCACTTTGGTGAATAGTTGCTATTTACGTATTGAATGCTGATTTTGGTACTATTTTACTTATTTTAAATTATATTGTACGGTTGCAGATATTGAATCACCTTCTTTTGGCTTAACATGTCCAAGTGACATCCACCAGTACGCAGACAAGGCAAAGAACCATACAAATATAAGTTGGCCTCCACTTGTAGCTACTGACAACTCTGGGATAGCACCAATTGTAATCATAACTGGTAAAAAGAGTATATACTATGAGGGAAAGCACGAGGTCGTTTACAACGCTACTGATGGAGCGGGAAACTACAAAATCTGCAAGTTTTACGTAACCGTCGAAGGTAAGGTAGATGTATAGATTTTAGATATGAAAAAATATATATAATTCCATTAGATTTGATGCCCTAGCAGTTTTCGCGATCGATCATTGTCGTCCCTTACTCGAGTAAAATTTTCCATATTAAATTCGTAGACATTAGATGTAAGAACTTTGACTTTTATTACTTCGCACATACAAATTTCTCTACTTACAAATCGATTTAGACGAATCTTTTCGACGACATTGTTTTTCTTTTGCGGGCAAAGCGAAGAACACAAAATATCATCCTAAACAGCTATCTGAAGAACGAACATTTCTTTGTTATAAATGTACATGTATTACCTGATATGCTCTTGTGAGTGCCTACTTATTCTAAAAGAGCAAAATCATACCAAATTTCAAAGGCGCACCCCTTATTACTTTTGATAAGGAGGTCAGTAAAACAAATAAAACCATTTCGCCTATAACATAATGCTTCCTGAAAAGGACTCACCATTGAAATCTTTAGCCGCCAATGTTTTAACTAGAAGTCATTTTGCCAGAGCATGTGTATACTATCGACGAGGGTTCTTTTGCAAACCTATCTTACCTACATGGCACGTATCAGAAAGGCCTTATCTGTTCTTTTATCCTAGTATTGCTCTGTCCAAACCTTCCCCAACCAACAAATGGATTCTTCTTTGGGAAATGTGGCAACATTTATGGATCAAAATGCAGGATACGTTGCATAGATGGATTCAATTTGCATGGATCAGAAAACATTTCATGCCTACACAGACCGGGTCACCTTTCTGGGTACTGGGATAACACGGCTTCAGTGTGCAAAGGTAAAAGTACATTTTCATTAGGAATGATCAAAGGGTATAAGATACTTTTCAATGTGTACGCTTTTTCTTATAGGAAGAACTTCTACAAACATAACTTAAGTAGCTACACTAGCAATCTGTAGCGTACTGGGGCTTCTTAGTTGGTATCTAGGTACAGGTCTGGTCTAGGGTGCCCATTATTAGAGGAGTTTTTCATAAATAGTTGTGAAACGCGACTTAGATTCAATCTACTCTGACGTTACTTTGAAACATGATTTCACAATTTTTATTAAGGGGATAGTGTCAGTGGAGTCTCATGCTTAATTTCAACGTATTAGCAATGCTACTAAACACATTATCTGTGTTCTCGTATTTGTCACAGCCGTCATACACTATGTGCAGCTTGAAACTTACCCATATTTCGATATATCATTTCAGTGCGGTCGTGTGATTCTCTTAGTGATCCACAACATGGTGTAATCTACCCACATATGTGCAAGTCGTATCCGGTCAGTGGAACGCTATGTGAGTTTGAATGCAAGCCCGGTTACCAACACAATGGAGGTGTGACCGAAGTGCATTGTGGAAATGATGGAGAGTGGAACAGAACCGGGTCTTTCTTAGAGTGTTCCGGTAACTTCTCTTCTCTCTTTTCAATAATTTTTTCAGACTTCTTACCTCCCTAGTGAGAGGCGTGGTGGCCTCATGGTTGTGTGCTCGACTACACATCGAGCGGTCCGGGTTCGAGCCTCGTCCGGGACATTGCTTTGTGTTCTTAGGCAAGACACTTTACTCTCACAGTGCCTCTCTTCACCCAGGTGTATAAATGGGTACCGGCGAATTTAATGCTGGGGGTAACCCTGCGATGTACCACCATCCCATTCAGGGGGGAGTAGAGATACTCTTAGTCGCTTCATGCTACGGAAACCGGAGTTAAGTACCGGCCCGACGAGCCACATGGCTCACGTGTAGGCAGTAACTTTTAGCTACCTCCCTAACTTAATTAAAAGTGAACCATATAGGTATTTGATAGCGATCATAATGTTAAAGTGTTTTTTTTATCCTGTTATATTCACTGGTAAGCATAATCAATTTGTATATCGGTTGATATCATTCCTTTTGTTTGGAGCAAAACTAAATGACCTGCGGCAGTTGGTTTGGTTTACAGCAAGTAACTGCTATTGAGATATTATCAGATTTTCTTTAAGACTTGCGTCGTGGTATGACGAACCTGCAAGGTGAATCAGGATACAAGCAACCAGCTCCATTTCATTTAAGGCATATAGAAAATGTAGCACCCGCAGCCGACCGGTTAAAACAGGTCTTTTTTTTAACAGCGCAATATAACCAACGGTCCAAATGATGCGTAATATTTGTACTCCATTAGCACGTTATTTGTACTTTACTTATTGCATTTGGATAATGTGAATAGATACAATTGCCCCTGCAATGCTAGGTGAAAGGAAAATTTTGTTATAAGGTTTTTTTTTTTTCCTATTATGAATTCTGAAGATAGCTTAAGCAGTCCAGCTTAGATCAATGATAGTTTTGGTGGCAGAATAAAACATTCTTCGTGAACAAGAACTAAAACTTATATTATCAACTATGTTCCGCAGACGTATCCCCTCCGGAATTCATCCGCTGTCCTTCAGATCTTCGTGTAAATATTAACGCAAATTCTACGGCATTGGTTAATTGGACAGAACCCATTGCACAGGACAACAGCAATGTACGTCCAAATATAACAGTTACACCAGCTGGAATTAGTCCACCCCACAGGTTCAATGAAACAACACTTGTAGTCTATACAGCCACAGACGCCAATGAAAACACGGACGAATGTTCCTTTCAAGTTATAATCGAAGGTAACTCAACTAAACTTAGCAAAGTGTTTAGCAAGAGATGGCACGATTAAAAGTTCCTGTAAGAGTAAATTTAATTAAACGTTCAGCTCGATCGTACACCGATAACAAGGGATTTAACAAGGTCGTTGTGGTGTAATGTAAATTGGCCACCGTAAAGACTTTGAAAGTTTGACGTTTCGAGCGTTTATTAGGTCTTCGTCATAGCGAATGGAGGAATTGTGAATTGTGTGTGATTATATAGAGAAAATGGACATACGCTGTTGGCGAGAGCATAATATAAATAAATTAGCTTAAAGTGCACCTACACCCAAACAATTTTTTTCGCTTAACGAAGTAAGCTTATTTTTTTGAGTATTTCTGCGCAAAAATTTTTTTATTTGCTCAAATCTTCAATTTTCTATGCCCAGTCAAAATACGGAAAATCGGCCGCCATCTTGCCCCACGACCGAGTTTAAAGAGGAATGGCTCTAGTGGGTAATGTGACGTCAAATCGAGAACACGAAAGTCTGC